ATAATGTTGGTGTTTTAGGTGAGGCATTTTATAATTCATGAATATTTATAAAACGTGAAAGAAATTGTTCCGTAAAAAAATGTAGATTAAAAAATTTTTAATTATAAAATATTTAGTAAATTTTCTATATAGTCTGGAGTATAAATATAATAATTAAAATAATGTAGGAGGTGAGCCAAGCATAAAAATATTTCATTTTATGAAAGTAAGAAATTATAGAGAATTTATTACATTTATAAAGGATAAAAGAGATCAAATTTTTCTCAGAGGGAAAAAATTCTGTAAAGGACAATTGCTTAAATTCCCTATATTCTTTATAGAAAACGTAGGCAATTTTTTATACAGATTCTAATTATTGTCTATCTGTAGAGAATCTACATTTTAGCCTATATGTTAGGAAATTAAAGTACGTTTCTTATTTTAGTACTTTCCTACGTTTTCTACGTATTAATATATACTGTACTTATATGTGAATATGTAGAGAATATATATAAAAAAAATGTATAATTTTAAAACATTTTGATCAATTTTTATAAGCAATAATCCTTTTCAAATTATGATAAGAAAGATACTTCGTCTACATCATTATATTTGTATGTTTTACTTTCATCAAGATCCTCAAATATCTTTAAGGAATTTAGAAATTATTTATATTTGCATGCATTTTAAATCAATACTTTCTGGTGATATTAAGAATTTAATATAAATCTTAAATTTACTGGGTTTTATATTATAATATGGATTTATTGATCATACAAAACCAAGTAAATCATATTACTTCTTTATATTTGATTGAAAACAACTGTTTAGATTATATCGACTTAGGCTTTGTTCTAGATCCAAGATCAGGAAGTGTTAATTAAGGACGATGAAATCATTAATTTACACTTCATTAACGACTGGTATCAGCAGGTAGGCTGTTTGGCTAGCCAAAATTATTGAAAATCAAATCCATTTCACTGAGTGCATCATAGGGGTCGACCAATATAGGCGAGAGTGAGAAACGACTATTCGATCTAACTATGGTAAATTATGGAGTAGAAGCTCGATAGGGGTATCCAAGCCTATACAGTGGGTGATCGGTTAACGAATACTTTCGCGAAAGATTTTTATGTTCGGACAACGAACACTTCACAGAACATCCAGAAAAAGAAGCGACATAAAATAGTAAAAACCGATTGGTCTCCAGATGACAATTCGAAACCTTTCGGAGCTCTGAAGACGTCGACATAGACGCTTACCAATCGGATAGTATTCCTCCGATACCAATCAGATAGTATTCCTCCGAATTTTGAAACTCTCCCTTGTAATTTCAGCTTTTTTGTTTACCTTTCCGACAAATAATTTTTTATAGTCTTCGCGAGACTGTCGGGAGGGTACTCATTAAGTTTTGCGTCGGGGTTTATTTACGAAAGGTGAAAGTTTAACTGTCTCATCGGATATTCGTTAACGTTTTAATACCAAATTTCGAATTTCATCCGGGCCTTGCATTTAAATAAGTTTTTGTGCGCTAGTTGATTTGTGTTCTCTGAATTTTTGTAAGTGCTTTTCTGAATTTATCACTTAAAAAAGAAACCGATAATATTATGGAGCATAAAAAGAGTGGAGTGCCAAGAACTGTGCTCACCGTAGAAACCAAGCGAGAGATAATAGAGTAGAGAGTGGGCAGAGATGTCTGATGTTGCTAGGCAGTATGGCTTGAACAGGTTTACAGTAAACACAATCTTAGCTATGAAATATATATCAAGAAGTCTCAAGCAATTAAAGATCTTATGAAGAAGTGGGAGGATGTCAGAACAGCGGGCATTCAAATGGCATCCAAACCAGAATGGGATTAATGGGCTTGGAAATCGCTACAGTTACAATGCTATTAACTACTACCGAAAAATCCTAAAAAAGAGAGAAAAGCAATCGACATTGGACAGATTCTTTAACCGCCACAAAACTGAAAAAAATGACTAATAAAAATGCTAGACTGTGTGAATATGTATTTTTATTCATATATATAAATAAACGTAGTAAGAAAGTATATATAAGTTATATATATATATATATATATTTGGAGTCTCCAGAAGGAATTAATCAAATTTCCATAAAAACCTATGGTAAATCGATAATCGGTTAACGAACAATTCGGATAGCGAACAAAGTCTTGTAACGGTTATGTTCGTTAACTGATCACCCACTGTATTGTTATATTTTAAGTATTGTTTTTCGTCTTTATAGTATAATTTACAGATAAATTTCATTAGAAATTATGGAAATTGATACTGTAATTTTTCTGTACAACAATTCTAGATAATTACTGTAGAAAAAATTTTAAATTTAAATTTTTAGAAAAAAAATTTACACAATTCTCTAAAAACAAATTCATGATCCCATCAAAAACGTGTCTAATTTTCTCTTGATTCCTAATAATATTCCTCCAAAAATTGTCTTTAAATTTTCTAAAAAGAATGAGTAGAAGAAATTTCTAAGGAGAAAAGAATTTTCGAAGAAAAAATTATAATTTCAAAAAAATCCCCGTGGAAATTTTCTAAATTATATATACGTTTTTTAAATTCTGTAAAACAATTTTTTTAAATTCCTAAAAATTATTACAATACTCTAGAAAATTTCTCAAAATTCCGGAAAACACCGTTCTAAATTCTCCTGAAAAGTTTTCTGAATTTTCAGAGATGTTTCCTAAAAAATTATCAGTCAAGTTCTGTAATAAATTTCCAAATATTCTCAATTTTAAGACATTTAAATATACAATTTTTCAATAAGGAATTGCTATTATTATATATTTTAACATTTTCAAGTTAATATTCATCCTATATTATTGATAATTACGTATGCAAACAGTCATTAAAACATTTAAAAATACAATAAAGAAGAGCTTACAAATTATCATTTCAGTCCACGATCTGTAATTTCCTCTTAAACCTATTCTTCTCGCTTAACAGACGTGTATCACATTCTTGCAGAAGTATCAGATTTATACTTAAAAAACAATTCTGTAATACGTTGAAAGAAGATAAAATTCCTTTCTAAGATTCAATAAAAAATATATAAAATCCTCTTTTAAGATTTTAAATTGTTTTTAACGGTTAGGAATAGGATCTAAGACAAACGAACCAATTAAATTTAATTATTCGAATGGCGCAACAACGTTTAACCAATAAATGAAAAGTGTCGGTTATTTTCCTCAGTTTAAAATTTACGCTCTTCGATTATTGGTTAGTCGTTGTTGCGTCATTCGGTCGATCCGGTATAATTGGCTCGTTAATCGAAGATCGTTATTGGTCGAGTTGTATTAATTTATAGGAGTTAATTAACAGAAGGAATAATGCGACAACGTTATAGACATAATAGCTAACCAATATGCATACGCTGGATGTTCCAAAGGTTTATTAATTCTGTACAGAAGTTAAGATAAAATTGTTAAGATTTTTCGTTCGAATTAATTTAAACAGGATGGCCCAAAAGTCAGTTAACCACGTACAGTACTACACTTCTGCATAGACACCTCAAATGCATTTTTCTTTTCTAAATTGGTAAATATACATATAGACTACAGTACGATAATTTAAGGCAAGAATTTACAGCAGTTAGCCGACTTTTGGGCATTCCTCTTTCTGGGACTTTAATGATTTTATATTATGTGGAATTGTGATGATATGCGATTAAAGTAACTAAGGCAGAAATTTATTCTTTACAGCGGTTAACCGACTTTTGGGCCACTTTCTTTGTGCAATTTTGATGATTTTTGGCTTATAAATATTGCTAAAATCATTGAATAACGCATGAAAATACTGAAAAAAATTGAAGAAAAGAAGTACAGTACTGTAATTATCCTGAAGATATTTTATGAAAAAATTTCATTTTCTTACATGATAAACGTGAATTATTTAGTTTTAGATTCGGAATATATCATTTTCGGTACTTTGAAATGCAATTTCTGTAATTAAATTTATTATAATATATATTAANATATATATTTTATTTTAAAGAATTTATAAAATACTTTTAGTGTTAGAATTTCGATTATAAAATATTCAACTACAGTTACACGTCTGTCAAAATGCAAGAGCTTAAACTGAGTTCACGAAGAATTACTGAAATACAAAATACATCTTTACATCTCTCAGTTTTTTTTTTCTTTTTTTAAAATTAATAATAAAAAAAATAATAATAATAAACAAAGTTCCAGATGTCATATGTAAAAATAATGTACAGTACAGTACAGTATAGTACAGTACTAGAAATTCAAAAATATAAAATATTCATGAAATTTATGATATAAAATAAATGATTACAGTGATAAGACATTATCAAATGAGTTTCTTTCTCTCCATAATTCCATTTTATATTCATTTTTCCAGCCAGAAATATAATTTTTGTTTGTCAGAATTCGTATTTTTCGAAGAATTAAGCAACTCGAAACGTGTTTAAATCTAAAAATAGTTACGTGAATTAAGTTATTTATTAAATAAGACAATTAAAATTAGCCACAGATTATGTAAAACAGCGTATAAATAATGAAGATAACGTTACTTGGTTTATTTTCTTATTATTTTATAAGGTAATATAATTATTTTAATACTGTTTCGGAAATTTAATTGATTAATGATAATTAATTTGGAAATATTAATTAATTTTTCAGTCAGCCAAGAATGTTTTAATTAATAAAAATAATTTACACGATAATAATATATAAATAAATATATCAAATATTCATAAACGACAAATCCGAGATGAATCAACCTTAAAAAATAAATGAAGAAATCATAAAAAAATCAGTCATAAAATCATTAATTTTTTAAAAAATGCCGCCATAAAATTAATCAAATAAGACTTATTTGAAGAAACAATAAATAAATATGTACTTTTTTCTATAAAAATGGCAAATTTTTGACGTTTTTTTCCATCTTGAAAGAATGGAACGACGCTTGTGAATTATCATCCCCCCCGAAAAAAGTACCCTCGAGGATATTTTATTTCCTCTATCAACCGCTAGATGTCACTCTACGAGTTTAACTTTTACTTTATATATAAACGGTCGTGCCACCTTTCCTGGCATCATGAGTTCGATCATGTCAGTTGACGTCCAACAGTGGTCCTATAACTTGACGAACTTAAGCGATATTAATCAGACAATAGAATCCAATGTTGATATAAATGATAGAGTAGATGTTGCATCTTATTCAGCCATTGTGTGTCTTTCTTTTCTCTTTTTTGTCATCGGTTCTATCGGAATTGTTGGTAATCTATTAGTTATATACGCTATACTAAGTGATAAACGAATGAGAAGATCCGTTACAAATTTACTACTCATGAATCTAGCTGTGAGTGATTTTATTAATATGGTAGTATGTATACCGGACATTATACAGTTTATCGAAAATCATGGATGGAGATTGGGTCTACCATTGTGTAAAGTACTCCGGTTTACTGAAGTGTTTGCCCTATACGCATCTGTCATGACACTTGTTAGCGTTTGTATTGAAAGGTTAGTAAGTATTTAATATATTTTTACTTAAATAATTTTATTTAAACGGATTTTTACACATAAAATATATTTTAAAGCTCTCTAAAGTTTAAAATATAAATTTATGATGTTGTGCTTCACTGTAGTGCTTCAAATTATCCATTTGCTAAATCTAATAATAGAAAAGATTTTTATTGTTGTAAAAGACGTATATATAAATATAATGTATATTACAACAATTACTTTATGAAATTACCTACCTTAAAAATGAAATGAAATAAAATAAAAAATAAGTCATTTTCAATAATCAAAAATGGACAATTTTTAACGATCAAATTCCCGTTTAATGATGTGAATATATAAAGAAGTAATTGAATATTTTATGAAATAAATAATAAAACATATCATAAAATTTATATTCAAAATAATAATATAATAAAAAGTAAATAAAAATTAATTAGAATTACAAATAAAGACAATATTATGAGAATTTCATCTCGAACTTTAAAACAAAAAAATTATTTTAAAAAAATAAATAAATTTTAGGAATTAAAAGAATTTTAACGAATATTTTAGAATAAAAAAAACATATAAAAACTCAATTAATCATTTTAATATTCTCTTATTAAATTAAGTAATTAGACTCGTTGAATTAAAATTTATTTCGTTAAAAAGCTAATAACGTTTACTATAAATTACAACATATTCAATTTTTAGTTATAATTTATTAAGGTAACATTTTGAATTTACGAGTATTTAAAAACAAGAAATCAATTAAGGATTTACAAGCTTGAAAATTAAAGTTTTAATACATCAAACGTACTAAAACGTTCCTTACTTTAACTTATTACACAGGCTGATATATTTAAATTTTTACATGTAAAATATAATATATATATTTTATTTTAAAGAATTTATAAAATACTTTTAGTGTTAGAATTTCGATTATAAAATATTCAACTACAGTTACACGTCTGTCAAAATGCAAGAGCTTAAACTGAGTTCACGAAGAATTACTGAAATACAAAATACATCTTTACATCTCTCAGTTTTTTTTTTCTTTTTTTAAAATTAATAATAAAAAAAATAATAATAATAAACAAAGTTCCAGATGTCATATGTAAAAATAATGTACAGTACAGTACAGTATAGTACAGTACTAGAAATTCAAAAATATAAAATATTCATGAAATTTATGATATAAAATAAATGATTACAGTGATAAGACATTATCAAATGAGTTTCTTTCTCTCCATAATTCCATTTTATATTCATTTTTCCAGCCAGAAATATAATTTTTGTTTGTCAGAATTCGTATTTTTCGAAGAATTAAGCAACTCGAAACGTGTTTAAATCTAAAAATAGTTACGTGAATTAAGTTATTTATTAAATAAGACAATTAAAATTAGCCACAGATTATGTAAAACAGCGTATAAATAATGAAGATAACGTTACTTGGTTTATTTTCTTATTATTTTATAAGGTAATATAATTATTTTAATACTGTTTCGGAAATTTAATTGATTAATGATAATTAATTTGGAAATATTAATTAATTTTTCAGTCAGCCAAGAATGTTTTAATTAATAAAAATAATTTACACGATAATAATATATAAATAAATGATAGATGGAAAAGATCTTACCGTTTTAATTTTGTTTTTATAGATGAAATTTCCATTTAAAAAATTAATTTGATGAGTATTTATAATTCAGTTATTTATTTAAAAATAAATTCCTTTTACATATTTTATTCCGTTTTTTTAATTCAGTTACAACGTTTATTTATTAATTATAAAAGTTTATTCATACAAATTTTATATATTCTTGTGTTTAGAATGATAAATTACAATAATAGACAAAATTTATACGTATATTCTAACAATAAAATAATAACCTTTCATTATTTTGTACATTTTATTTATTTATTTTAATTATAAAAAATATTGTAACATTTTATTATAAATTAAGTTACATTTATAAGTTTTTATTGCAAGAATATATAACATATATTTTATTATTTAAAAAATTGTTGATCTATTACAATTTTAATACTGTACTGTACAGTACATTCAATTTGTTAGTTTAAATTTTCAAAATAGCGCGCGCTTTTTTATTTATTTATTTTTCATATTTTATTTATGATTCATTCATAAATTTAAACTTTTATTACGTAACAATTTTTCAATTTATCAATTTCTTATTTTAAAAAATCGCGCGCGTATCGTAACATAAAATGTGTCAATTTCATTTACAACTCATTCATTAATTTTTGCACGTGCTTTTATATGTCAATTTCACTTATACTATTCTATATTTTCATTCGTAACTAATAAAACATCTATTTTTACGCCTTTTTAAAATATTTTTAAGTTTAAAAACTTTACAAAAAAAAACAATTTTTAATCTATTATTTAAAACATATTTCATTTTCTATCCTCTTATTTCTAATGTGATAATAATCCGTTAAAATAATTTTTCTTGCATTAATGGCTAAAGTAATTTAACTGAAGAGAAGTAATTTGTATTTAGCTTAATTGCAAGTATCAGATTGAAAAAAAAAAAACTAACATTGTCGTATAGAAATGTTCGATAAAAAAAGAAAAATAAGGAGGGAGGAAAAATATATTCCTTAATATCGATCGTAAAGTTAATGGATCATTTCTTTTCTCACCCTTTCTTATATTTGGAGTACTTTATCGTACGTTAAATGATATAAATTGTGCTTTAAAAAAAAAGTAAATTACATTTATTTAGTCGTATGTTTGGATTTAGAAATTAATATTTTATAAAATTTTCTACAAAATTTCGAATGAAAAAATAAAATATTTTAATAAATAATTTAAAAAAAAATTAAATTGACTTTTTCAACGCACTTAAATATATATAAACCTATAATTTATTATTAAAATTAAACGTTCAGAATATTGTTTTATCCTTTGATAAACGTAGAAAAATTCAATATAAATTTCTAAAAATAATTTTAATTCGTGTGTAAATATTTTAATAACAATGTGATTATTAATCTTAAGGTTTATTATCACAATTTTAATATCAATTNATCCAAAAAATCAAGACTTGAACCTATTTTTTAAATGATATATATAATTTAAAGTAAAATAATCGCTAATATATCTTCTAGAAATCGATTTTAATTCATGAAATATGCCTTATCTTAATGTATTTCCATTAAAATACTAGATCTAGACAAATAACTGCAATAAAAGTTTAAAAAAATAATATTTCAATTTAATTTAATTATAAATTTCTAAAAGAAATAATGAAATTCAAACTAAAATTATAAAAAAAAATACAAAAAATTTAAATTAAGAAAAAAACCGACATTCTTCGATTATTGGTTACTTATTGTTGCGTCATTTTATTAGTTAGCTGTGATTGGTTTGTTAATCCATTATCTTTATTGGTCGACGGTTATTACGAAATTGAAATTTTTAGATTATTCTCCTCAAAATTTACTTATTTAATAACATTTTAGATGAAAATTTATTCAAATTTTCTTTTATTATAAATGAAATTCACACTAAAAAGAATTACGTGGTAATTAAAACGTAACGAAATTAATACGCAACAATAGAAATCAAAATTGTACAGTTAACTAATCATTACGTATTGAATACGTCAGTAATTAACATGCGTTAATTATCGTGTCGTAAAATTATTGATATTTGTCTGTTACGTCAGCTTAAGATTAAATGTGGCGGAATTTTTTAAACGATCGAAAATTATCTTGAAAAAATCTCCATATTGAAAATAAGTGGAGAAGAATCATTATTTATAAGCAGAAAGGAGAATCACTTGAAAGTATGATTATTACAGCAACTTACAGCAGTTACTTTGCTTAAGATTTATAAGATAATAAACAATTTCTTCTAAAAAAATAAAGAAAAAATTACGATCTATATTTATAGAAATCTTGTTAAATATCTTTTTTATTTAGCTTTTACTTCAGGCACACTTTCTATAACAACAAAATATATAAGAAAATTTTCAATTTTGACCTCTACCAACGATCAAAACTTTTTAAATTTAAAAAAAACCGACACTTTTCGATTATTGGATAGTCATCGTTGCGTCATTAGATCATCTGAACGTAATTGGTTGTTGATCGAAGTCCGTCATTGGTCATCGTTTATTACGAAATTCGAAAATTTGAATTTGAATATTTTACTGTAATTTGTTTGTTTTTTTTCAGATTTAACGAGATTTATTTGCTACTTTAGAAATTATTTTAAATACTTTTTATTGATATTTTCATATTGTATTTTATACAATTTTGTTTGCTGAATTTGTTAAGTTGAATTTACAATTTTTATTTAATTTTTTTATTAGATCTTTTAAATTTTTTTTATTTGAGAATTTAATTATTTAATTTAATAACAATTTTATCATTTCTAAACCAACAATAACATTCATTATTTGATAAATGTTTATATAAATCTAGATAAGGCGATATACAATAAGTGAAAATTAATTTAATACTTCCATAAATTTGACATTAACCTTTATTGTAAATATATGAATTAAATCAAGATTTTAATTGTTTATACGCATATATTTATACTAAAATTTCTCTAAGCCGATATATTATTGGTTATTACCAAATTTACTAGCTAAAAATTTCACTAGAGACTCATTAATTGATCGTAAATGGAAGGTAAAAGTAAAGATTTTCATTTATACTCTATCTTTCTAAGTTTATATACTACTTTATTTAATTATAGAATGGGCTTATTGTTGTATCGCGTGTTGATTCACTATACAGGATGCTCAGAGATGATTTCCTGAGCTTTTAAAACATGATAAACGAAGCTTTACGTGCCTGAAGAAGTTTTTCGGTCATGCAATTGGATAAGAATTACGAACTTTTGAAATTCAAATATTATCGTTCGATGATTGGTCGGTAGGCGTGGAAATCAATCGTGATTGACAAGTTTACTTACGTTTCGTTTCCTGTACTGTTAATTGTGTAGGAGATTGTATTTTACATTTTAATTACGTTCC